GTAACATGGCCTTGACTGCGTTGCCCTCTTTCACAATATGAATTATTTGATGGTTTGTCTCCATGGTATCAGACCTTTACAACGCAGAAACCTTCCCCAATGCCTAATTGCGTTTTGCTTGAAATCTCTGATTATTTGTAAGGTGCTCCAAATTCAAACGTCGAGCACTATATTATTTTTCGCTCGAATATACCTCATTCGATAATCATATTGATCATTTTTTATCCAACAAAACTGAATATTATTTATTGAACGATGAGGAAGTACCAAAATGGGTCCAGCCAACAGCACCAAAGCCCAGAGTTTTGATTTGTAAGTTAAAAAAGTTGTTTTTTCTCCTTCAACTTTTTATTTTCTTTTTATTTTTGCTCTTGTTTTTTTCTCAAATTTTTTCAGGTCACGATGAATGTACTTTTCGTAGTGGAGAGGTTAGTGCGCGTAGATGTGTGATCGATGATTCGGCACCCTTTTTTAGCAAAGGTCGTGGTCGAAGCTACATGATTTCCGATTTTTTGGTCATCCATCCATCATCGCCATATTTTCAATTAAGTCCAGCTGAATGGAATCAAGCAACTCAACGATATCCAAAATTATTGGAAGAAGTAGATATTATTTATGAAAAATTTTCGGCATCAGCAGCAATAAATATTGGAAGTGATTTATATATGGACAACGAATTGATTTTAGAACAATTTGAACGATTATTTCAAATGTTACAGTTCAAAGAAGAATACAAGACGCATACTATTGAAGTGTTAGTGGATAATGCAAGAACTCATACTAGCAAGAAATTTAGTGTTAATGATTTTAATATGAAACCAGGTACCCGGTGTCCAGTTCAATCAATTGAATATTTAGATCCAGCTACAAATCAACGAAAAACAATCAATTGTTATTTTACAGATGGTGAGAACAAAGGAAAATCACGTGGATTACTCAACATTGCATTGAACTTGGGATTGAAGGTGCCGTTAAATTGCAAACTTCAACAATTAAAAGAATTAGTTAGCCAACATCCAGCATTCCAAAATGTTACAAAATTAGAAAAATTAGGGACGCAATATGGAATTCAAGTGTTATATGTGCCAAAATATCATTGTGAATTAAATCCTATTGAAGGTTATTGGTGTCATATGAAACAATTTGTTCGCAAACACAATGATCAAACATTCAACAAGATGGTATCATTAATTGGTGAAGCGAGAAAAAATTTTAAAGATCGTCAAATATATTTAGAATTATGTAGAAGATTCTGGACAACATTAATAGCATACAATGATGGTAAAGATTACAAACAAGTATTGCAAATGTTTTTTTCAAGTTTATGCAAAGACAATATTATTTCTCATCGAAAAATCGTGAACACTAATTTGGACAAGTAGTTTCTACTTTTCTATTTGTTGTTGTTTCTATTTTTTCTTTAGCATTTCTGAAATATTGAAATAATCATTCCTGAAAGTTTTTCAGAAACCTTCTAGAAACCCCTCCCCCGCGCTTCTACAAGCTACTCTGCAGGCTTATATTCGAATCCGTCTTCTTTTGTTAGCAGCCGCGCGAAGTTTTTTAGAAACCTTCTAGAAACCCTCTGGAGATCCTGGAAACCGTACCATTGGATTCAGAATGCTTTTTTATCTATACTCTGCTAATTCGAGTGAATTCTGTTGAAAAATAAGAAACTAAGAAAAAAAACACTTGGCCGATTATAGGTGAAAAAGCGTTCGTTTTGAAAAAAAAATAATATCTCAGCAAAAAAACAGAAATTCAAAAAAGTGACTCTATAACTTTGTTTTACGTTTGATGGCGGTTCTAATGGCGTAAGAATGAAGGGTCTATCTCTCGACCTGATGGCGCTGATAGGCTTGCAAGCGGTGAATATCTAATTTGAGACCTTTAAAGTATGACGAGGAGGGGAGCACGTTTTACACCTGCTGAACCTTCAGAGATAGTCTATGATATGGAGTTTTTCACGATGATTCCGAAAAACATATTCCGAAGGTTTCACGACTTTGTGAAGTCGAGATATTGCATGTTTTTCGGAATGTTGCGATTTTTTAGAAAAATGGAGTCGTCCAATTTTTTAATTTTTTCTCAGTAAAAACGCATACTAAAAATTTTTTAACTAACATATTCGTGATCAGTGCAAAATTCTGCATCGAATGAGGTATATTCGAGCGAAAAATAATATAGTGCTCGACGTTTGAATTTGGAGCACCTTACAAATAATCAAAGATTTCAAGCAAAACGCAATTAGGCATTGGGGAAGGTTTCTGCGTTGTAAAGGTCTGATACCATGGAGACAAACCATCAAATAATTCATATTGTGAAAGAGGGCAACGCAGTCAAGGCCATGTTACACTGTGCATTTTCTACAAAGCAACCGCACATTAAATGATTTTTATTGTTAGGAAAAGTGATTACCAAGCAAACAGATACGCATATCAATCAAAAGAGGTGCAATTCGAATACCAAACCAAGTTATTTTGAAAAACTTATTGTCTGGTCCAGGAACGTTTAGACCAATTTATGCTGTTTATGGAGATAGAGAACAGGGAGATGAACCTTGTGGAAAAAATTTCGAAGAGTTCGATTTTGCTAAAGAGCGCGCAATCATTTCACTCACCGTAGCTGCTACTCGATAGTAAAAGGTTCCTGACTCAGAATATGCCGCCCCCTTTCACAATCTGTTCAGATGACTAGCTTGGAATGTACTGCATGCATCATTCCAACGAACGTTGTCTCCGACTATGTTAAAAGCCGTACCTGAGAAATATGCTTCCCATTCGCAAAGGAAAAATATTTTGTATACTGCGTAAAAGAACGATTGCACCATTGCGACGTCCTTTTCTCATTTGTCATGCATCATACTTTTTTCATACTTTCAATTTTCTCACAGTTCTCAAACGTCTCACAGCTCTAAATCTTCTCATACCTCTCAATATCCTGAATGTTCTAAATCTTCTCACAGTCCTCAACGTTCTCAACCTTCTGCCGCTTTTCAATGTTCTCAACGTTCTCACAATTCTCAACGTTTCCATAGTTCTCATTTTTTTCACAGTTCTCAATCTTCCCATAGTTCTAAACGCACTCATACTTCTCAATGTTCTAATAGTTCTCAATATTCTCAATCTTTTCACTGCTCTCATGCTTCTCAATGTTCTCAGTGTTCTCATAGTCCTAAATGTTTTCAATGTTCTCGTGATTCTCAATACTCTCAATGTTCTCAACGTTTTCATAGTTCCCAATTTTGTCACAGTTCTCAAACCTTTCACAGCTCTTCATGTTCTCACAGTTCCCAATGTTCTAATAGTTGTCAATCTTCTAAATGTTCTCAATGTTATCATCATCCTCAACCTTCCCACAGTTCTCAATGCTTTCATACTTCTCAATTTTGTCACAATTCTCAAACCTCTCACAGCCCACAATCTTCTCATAATGCTCAATATTCTCAACGTTCTCAACCTTCTCATAGCCCTCAATGTTTTCAATGTTCTCATCGTTCTCAACCTTCTGATACTTCTCAATATTTTCATAGTTCTCAATTTGGTCAGAGTTCTCAAATCTCTCACAGCTCTCAACACTCTCAGAGTTTTTAAAGTTCCCCAAGTTTTCCATGTTCTCATAGTGCTCAATGTTCACAATGTTCTCATAGTTGTCAGTGCTCACATAGTTGTCACTGTTCTCACACTTCTCAATGTTCTCATAGCTCTTAATCATCGCATAGTTCTCAAAGCTGTCATAGTTCCCAGTGTTTTCATTGTTCTCAATGGTCTCAGAGTTCTTAATATTCTCAAAATTCTCAACCTTCTACTAGTTATCAATGTTCTCAAAGTTCTGGATGTTTTCATTATTCTCATAGCTCTAAATGTTCCCATAGTTCTCAGTGTTCTCAATCTTCCCATTATACTCACAGTTCTCAATGTTCTCATAGTTCACAGTTCCCAAACCTCTCACAGTTATCAATGTTCTAATAGATCACAATGTTCTCAATGCACTTATAGTTCACAACGTTCTAATAGTTCTCGATGTTCGCAACCTTCTCACAGCCCTCAATGTTCTCACACTTCTCAACTTTATCACAGTTCTCCAACCTCTCACAACCCTCCATCTTCTCATAGTTCTCAATGTTCTCAAACCTCTCACAGTTCTCAACGGTTTCACAGTTTTGTTTGTTGTTTTCAATGCTCTCATTGTTCTCAATGTTGTGATAGTTCTCAATGATCTCATAGTCCTCAGTGTTATCATCGTTCTGA